AGACCCATTGTGATGCACACTAAATTCACATCTTGTGTGATGGTTCCGAGTTATGAATGAGAATCCCTTGATCCAGGCATACATTGGGGCTGTCCTCATGACTGAAATAAGCCTTTTCTGTCTTTTTTGTTTTGTTTTTTGAATTTGAACATGTATATTGACCATTTTTTTTTATTAAATATTTTTATATTATAATTTGTCCTCATTACCTGGCACACATACTGTGTGCGTGTGTTACAAATTTTACAGTTTAGTAGTACCTAGATAAACTAATATGCAAACGACTTGTCAAAGTTGTTTTTAAATCTTCATCATTAATAATTACACATAAAACATGTCCCTTTACTTGTTATAAACTTTAGTTATCACACAAAGTTAAAGAAAAAATTGTTTCAACTAAAAAAAGAGCCAGTATCTAGTTATAGATTCATTTCTTTCTATGGTTACTAAATCATCTAAAAAAAAAAAAAAAAAAAAAGGTCAAATTCCTAACCAGTTAGTATTACCATGCATAAAACTATTTTTTTTTTACTCCATATACAGTTTACTCATGTTCAAAGAATATACAAAATTCACAAAATTTTTTTTTAATAACTTTTATCTACTTTATATGACCTGACTATTTCTTATAGATATATATTTTAGAATCTGAATATTTTTCTCCAAAATTTATATACCTATCATCAGTAAAATGAAAATTTACCCAAAACCATTTTCAGTAAAATTCAACCAGTATTGATACCTACAAGTAATTTCTAAATTAGATAAATGAATTTAAGTTACAAATGGATCGACACTGGTTTGTATATGTATTTAAGGATACACTGACATTGAGAAAAAAAGATTGCTGCAAGAGTGTATAATATTTTCTAATAAAGGTTGATGAAAATTAACAATAAAACAAATTTCTGAAATGTATTTTAATTATTCTGTGCATTGGACTTGTCTTCATTCTAAGACTTTCTTCAGATTTGTGTTTTATAAAGACAAAATATAACATACACCCAAATAAGGCATTGGCTGAAATGGTGTTAAAAACATCAAAGTTGAAGGTAACAGAGCAAATAAAATTGTAGTGTAATTGCTCTTTACTATAAATCCCTTTGGATGAATTTTGTACATTTCAACAATGAAGAATCTCCACACACAACCAACAAAGATCAGATATGATTAATGTCACATGATCAAAAAAATGACTGATTAGCAAGTGTCAAATTAAAAGAACAGATTGTCCATAAAAGGCAAAAATAGTGAGTTGCAGACAATAGAAGCAGATTGGAAAATTGAAAGTGCAGAGCATAAATGGCTAAGACATAAAAAAGGAAGAAATTAATAGATAATAAGCAGCCTGCAGTCAAACAGTAAAAACATCATGCCAAATACATTGAGTAATACTATTTAGTTGAAGACATTAGAATCAATGCTGATCTCCCTTTTCTCAAATGACTTACACTTATCTTTTTTACAGGTAATATTTTATATGCTTAACCTCTTGAAACCATGAATTGTATAACAAGCTTATTTAAAAAAGACAGTTTAATAGAAAGCATCAAATTATTTCTATTCTCTACATTTATTTTAGGAGACACACTGAGATATCGGTTGGACTAAAACAATATTATGGAAAAAAAAAAAAATAAATAAATAAAAAAAAAAAACTTTAATACAAGAAACAGGCTCATGACTTTTGAATGTTATGTATTTTGTAACACACACTTGATTAGCGGGATATTATGATTTTATGTGAATAACACATTCCATAAAATTGTAAATTATTTTTAAAACTTCTCCAAACTGAATTCAAGCAATCAATATTAAAAAAAATAAATAAATAAAATAAATAAATAAAATAAATAAAAAAAAAAAAAAAAAAAACAAAACTTGACAGTTGTGCCAATAACAAGAAATTTTTGGATACAAAGTAAAATGAGAATCTGTTAGGCATATATTAAAAACTACTTTAAAAGTCTAACAGATCAAATGCTTTCTGAAATGGGAATTTATTATAGTTTCTGCTATATTAGCTTTCCCAATTTCTGCAAACTTGAATATTAAAATCACAAGAATTGTTTATATATAACTTTTAAGAGACACAAAGAAAGGACAATACTACATATCTCTTATGATGCAGTATTGAAAACTTAAGCAAATAAAAATAAAAGGTAAATGAAGCTTAAAAGTAGTTAGTTCTCCATAGTCTTTCTATAGATTAGGCACCTCCATGAAATCGCTAAAAAAAAAAAAAAAAAAAAAAAAAAAAAGAGCATAGCTTGATGAAAAAGACGCCAAACTTGCCGGAAACAAAATTTTATCGTCTAAATGCTTATGTTATTATTAAGAGGAAAGACCAAAGTTTTTGTTTTTTTTTTTAAATTATTTTAAAAATTTTTTCCTTATTTTTAGAACATTCTAAATTTTGATTAAAAAAAAAAAAAAAAAAAAAACCTTGTTTCGCTTTGTATCAGCGGAACTAGTAAATAACAGACAATTTTTAGCACGTTTTTTTTTGGTAGGACACATTAATTTGGAAAATCTTGCAAAAATATAAATAATTGTCAGATGTTAATGAAACTTTCAGAAACTATTCACAGATCATCAAAATTATTATAAATGTTTTTTTTATTAAAGTCATGGCAGAAATATTTTTTTATATATTTATTACCCCACCCATAACTAATTTTATGAAAACGCTAGAAATTTGATAGAGTCTAGTTTAATAATTACAATAGTTAAAAATGCAAGGCTTTGAGGAATGCAAATCATGTTTTTTTTTGTTTTTAATTGGACTCCCCCTACCTGAAAATCAGCTCCAAATTGTAACATACAAAACTCAATAAAACAAACATATTTAATTTCAAATGCTTTTAGTTGTTTTTATGAATATGGACAATTTTTTCGATGAAAAACGAATTTTTAATACAATTATATTTGTTATTTCTTAATTATAATAGATTTTTACATTTAATTTTTTAAAATATTATAAAATTAGTTAAAAGCCCATCAGGTTTCCTAAGTCTCCTTATGAGATAGGATCTATTTTTTAGCACGTCGTAAATTGTATCATTTTGACTAATCAGAAGATCCGCAGTAATTAAGAAATGTAATTTTGTGTTTATAATCAGGCTGTAATTATACCATACGGAAGACCAAACAGAATACAATTAAGTTGCATTATTTGAGTTAAGCATTGTTCTCCACTGTTAAGGCCTTTACTTTTGCAAAACGTGTAGAGAAGTTAATTTGATTTTTCAGTTTCAACTGAGAAGGGTACCTACAAGTATCATCTTATGAAATTTATATGATCCTATTTTTATATTAATCTCAGTTATGACATTTTTCCCTAAATGAAGTATCAAAAATAATAATAAAATGAATGGAAATACAAATAACACAGTAAAATGTAATAAATGTACATAAAATTATAGTATTTTATGTACACTTCTGATAAAATTTCATAAGAAAGGTACCTATAAATTAATTAGATACCTTTCTTATGAAATATGAAATTTAATCTCACTCTTAACAAGTCTTAATTTCTTTATAATATATTTTCCATAAAGCATTGTAAACGTAAAGGTGAAAGCTAAGTACAAAAAAAAAAAAAAAAAATCAGAGTGCTGAAAGTTTTCCTTAAAAATAACGAGGTAAATAATTTGTTCACTTAAATGTAAATTATTTCACTTTTCTCCTTCCGTAGAACAAATTAGCCTCACGGAATCCATCAACATGTCATTCATCACCTGTCAAGTGACTCGAAAGTTTATGACCTTTGTTTTATTTTCAAATTACATCTTTTTGATGCAGAAGCTAAGTTAAGCTTGGTTCAAAATATTTTAAATAAACATAATTTCTGATTTTCTTAAAATAAGTTTTGAAAAAATGACAATTGATATTTAAAAGAATTTCAAAGTGAGATTTCCAGTTTTTTGCCAATTTAAAAAAAAAAAAGAAAAAGATTTTTAACAAAAATTTCGGAATTGCTAGGAACAATTAAAAATTTTTAAAAAATACCCCAAAAATACTTTGATCTTTCCTCTTAATAAACATTTAGACGATAACATTTTTTCATCAAGTTTGGCGTCTTTTTCATCATGCTATGCTTTTTTTTAGCGACCTCGTAGAAGTACCTACTATAGATGGACTGAAACTGCTTTAAGATAGGAATCTTATCTGAGAGTTTGCAAATGTCAACTGAAAAATAAAAAACTGTCACATTTTACTCAGATTGAGAAAAATTATTTTCTAGAAAATGCTTGAATGTTCCATAACTTTTGTAGACATTTCTAGTAAAAAAAAAAAAAAAAAAAAAAAAGTTTTTATTTCTCTTTTAAAGGTTTGAGGAAGTCATGCAAACAGTGTTCTTCCATTGATTAGAGCCTTTTACATTGAAATGTGTAGTACTAGAGAAAGGAAGCCAGGTTACAATTTAAATTAAGGAAAAAAAAAAAAAAAAAAAAAATCTACAAATGAACAAGGTTGACAGGTATCTTGTAGCAGACAGACAAAAGCTACAACAATCAATAGGAATAACTGCAGAAAAAAAAAAAAAAAAAAAAAAAAAAAAAAGGTGGTTGTAGTTGAAAAGTGCCTGGTAGAAATTTTAAATTCTGAATATCCCAATTGATTTTTTTTTTTAAAAACAATTTAAAATGTTAAATTTTTAGTAATATTACAAAGTATTTTTCACAATTTTGAATAAAATTTATTTGAATAAAGAAAACTGAATTTATCAAAAAAATTAAAGAAAACGAAAAAATTAAAAGGTTTCCTTGGCATAGCAAAATATTAATTTAAGTGCAACTAACTACAATATATGTTATAGATGCTTATGTATATAGATATATATTTATTTACAGGTGTTGTCTGCAACTGCATTACCTGCTGTGAAGAACTTAACACAGTCTTGGGGCAAGGGAAACTCCGCACTGTACGCAGACCGCATCAGAGACAGAGTGTCCTCAAATGACCTAGAAGAAGAATGAGAGTCAAGAGATTTATACCTGCTACAAAGTATTGTACGCAGCCCGCGTGCAGGCTGTAGTCCTCTTCTTTTAGGCTGGGGTGAATCACGGGGATATCCCATTGTAACCTATCAAGAGAGGAGCGGGAGCTTGTTATCACATTTTGACAAATATTTACAAAATTACATCAAACCTTCAGCTCTGAAACAAAGAAGTGTGTATGTGCGTGTTAGAAAAATAGCATGACAAATTAAGAAAAAGTTTTTGTGAGGTGTTTCCTCCCAGTCCAATGAAATCAAAACAGATGAATTGCATCACAAAAACTTTCCCAATATGTCATACCATTTTCTAAATACTAAATCTATATATATATATATATATATATATATATATATATATATATATATATATATATATATATACACACACACGTGTGTGTGTGTGGAATTATTTCAGAATGTCACTTTCAATAATATATCAAAACTGACAAACGAGATATTTGTTTTAATTAGGATTTTGAAAATATTTGCTAAAAATATATGACTTTAGAATATCTGAAATTGTTTTTATATAAAGTGTAAGAGTAAATAAGTTGGTAGCAGTTTATAATTAAATACCAAATTCCATACACAGAACATATATAAATAAATTGGTCTTAATTTGTGAAGAAAGTCATAGCGAAATTATTTAACCACTGCTTGAAGGAGAAGTCCTTCCCAAGTCTGTGGAAGTTATCAAGTGTATGCTCAATTTTCAAGAATTGAGTGAGCACTGATCCCCCTCACAGTATAAACACATCCATCTCTTCAGTGTCATTAGCAAACTCTTTGAAGCTATAATCAACAAGAAAGTTGTTGATCATGTCAATAGGAACAACCTCTTGAGTACAGTACAGGTCAATAAGAACAACTTCTTGAGAAACAGTACATGTTTCAAATGGTCCAGTTCACTGCTGATATCCTAACTGCAATCACTCACAGAATGTGTGAGGCATTAAACAAATACATCTCATGATGGCATTTTAGTCCTTCATATATTACATAAATAATCTACCTAAGAGTATACTACAATTGTTTGTGAATATCTAACATTATATTCACACAAACTGCTGCTTCCTCAATCACTACAATCTTAACCTGTTCAAGTATAGGGTTAACCGTCAGTTATCTTCCAGTGTTCCATCAGGCCTTGTACAGAGCGAACATCATTGTTGTTGTTAGAAAGAAAGGAAAAAAAGAAAGAAATAAAGAAGGAGAAGAAGAAGAAGAAGAAAGGAGGAAGAAGAAAGGAGAGAGAGAGAGACTTAAGCATATTATCACATTCCACTGGTAGACAACTGTGACAACTTGCAAAAATAATTATAGATTAAGGTTTTCATCTAAATCTTTCAAATAAACTGACCCTGTTCACTTTTAGAAATTGGCTTCAAGTTTAACCCACTAAAAATTGCGTCTAGAACAAGACAGCCTGATAAAGCCCATTTCTTTTCAGGATGTGTTTTTTCTCCTAGACTGGTTGATAAGAGCCCAGTCATCCCTGCTATTTAACCCATAGCTGGGGAAGAGGGAGAAGAGGTGGATTCATACCTTTCCCAAGGGTATTTGCACAAAAGAGAATGTAATGAACTTGACCAGAACACAAAATTAGCTTTGGCCAATTTCTCATTCCAGTTTGTTATCCATTACACTACCTGTACCTCCATCTAAATAGAGATAAAACCTCAGTTGATTACTAGAGAGCAACATGGCATTGTAAAACATTATCAAAAGGTTTTTATTTTTTTTTTTAATATGAGAATAATTTCTGCAATTTATAAACTGCTTTCTTTGCATTTAATTTTTCTTCTTCAAAACAAAGCAAACACTAAAGTTTTCGGATCTGTTTTAATCAAACTAAGCCTGACAGTTATTACAATAACAACTTTTTAACAAAATGTACATTTCGTTTTTTTTTTTTTTTGTAGATTCTATAAAGTCAAAACATGAAAACAAAGTACAGTTTGTTATGCAGATTGTCTTACATTTGATGTAGAATTGTACATTGATATAAACTCAAATTAACCAGGAATAATGTTTTTTGTTTTTAATTCACATACCAACTACATTTACAGATTGAAATTATCACCATACATTAAGAAAATAGACAAAAACATTGTATTCAACATGTAAAAAAACTTTGCAAATCAGGTAAGAACACCAAATTAAAATAAAAATGCTGGCAATAATCACCATCCACATTTCTTTAAAGTTCAGCATCTATCATTTTGGGAGTTAAGGAATCCATTCTTTTGACATCAAAGTTGGTCAGAGTCTCAAAGAACTCAAAATTACAATTGTAAATATTTTAAACTTTTTTTTGCACAGGGATTGGGTAATGAAAGCAGACATTTTTTTTTTTTTAAATAAAAAAAATAAAAACGTCTTAACAGGCTAAAAGTTTTAAAAAAAAAAAAAAAAATAAAGCAATAATTTTCTATGTCTAATCTTAAGTGATAGCAAAAATAAAAACGGTGCTTTACCTTGTACCATTATCAGTAGGGAATTTAATACTTTTACACGACAGCATTCTCCGGTCATAGACTCGAACATATGGATCATTGGCACCTACAGCCATTTCATCTGGCCGCAGAGGGTTTATGGCAATGCACTTGGCCTCAGCTTGCAGCCCCATATGTGCATTTAAATTAATGAGCACATTGCGGGGCGTACTATCACAGGCTTCTGGGGTTCGAAGGTCAAATTGCCTGAAAAAACAAAAACAAAACAATCTCATTGTATAGAAAATACTCCAGTCAGGGGAGATACTTCAGTGACAATCAAACAGATGAGGTTTTAAAATAAAAATAGCTGAAGAATTCTTTCTTTCTGCTTTATATCTGGAACTTTAAAAAGGGATATAAGGAATTTTTTTTTTTACCCTAACATTTGTGTGTGTGCATATATATATATATATATATATAAAAATATGGTTTTACTTTTAAGGAATGCTATATTTATATGTAAAAGGGCTCAATATCAAGGATAGAATATATATAAATATAAAAGTGGAGACTGAAGTCAATTCTGAGGTGATAGTCCATTTCATGCTTGAGTGCAATCTTCTCTTCATGAAGATTGCACCCAAGCATGGAACAGACTTGTCTGTTTCTCCCTCTAATGTGTGTGTGTATATATATGTATATATATATATATATATATATATATATATATATGTGTGTGTATATATGCCACAGGAATATGATATATAAATATTTATATATCAAGAACACTGTCACTTTAAAAACATCATTGCCTTTTTGAGGGGGTTGTAAAAACACATTGATTTTAAATATACCTTCTAATGTTCAGCTAATTTGCTTTTCATAAAACTTGGCATTTATGTAAAAGGGAATATATCTGTTTTTAAAGCAGTCTCTATACAAAATTTTAGAGAAAAAGATTTTTTTCCATTTTTTTTTTTTTTTAATTAGGTGGTTTTCAATTGTATATTGATGCATATCATGTTGAAGTTTACATTTTCTTTTTAACATCCTTGAAAAATAAATACTGAAAAATTGAAAAGTCAATACAAGTGCCTTAATCTGAAATTTTTAAATAATTTCATAAAATAGGCCCGTTTTGAATGTATTTTTTATTTTTATTTATATTCTAAGACTACTGAAAAAAAAAAAATTTTTCTATTATATCAATTTAATATTATTTACACTATTTACAAGTGGACTATTGTAATCATCAATAATCTGCTTGTTAATAATGTAAATAATGGTAACTCCTCATCTCAGAAATTGAAACAAATTATCAATTTAATTATTTGATATTTTTAAAAGCACTTATTCTTTTGAAATGTATGCCACCAAAGTTTTGTTTGTAAAACCTTGACACCCTTTAAATAAATATACCAAAATACTCTCTTCAACTATTATGGGATATTATTAACTATCGGTGCAAAAATTGTAATTATTTCTGCTTTTCAGTTGTCATTCTTACACTAGCTACGCCATAGCTAAGACGCACAGATTGAAAGGATAAATAAATATATATATCCTAAATTACTTTTAAAAAACCTTTCTACAGAATTTGTTGAAGAATTAACCAATATATTACAAGTTAATATTGTAGGTAGGGACATGTATATCATACATGGAATCTATGTAATTGCAATGTGCAGTTTAAGGAACAAATGTTCTTCCTAATTATAAAAATGCCTTATTTTACAAAAAATGAAGGCTACAAACTTTCAAGCTATGACTCTGGAGTAGATTATTTAAATAAGTTTTTTAGATTAAACTTAGTCGACAATGCATTGATTTCTCATGTCTGCATGCAAACCATTGAAATATTTTACAGTTGTCTTCCATCTAAAACTTTTTTCTGATTGCTCCAATACTTGTGTAGAAGCTATAAGATTTTTTTCTATTTCGAAAGCAAAATATTTTGCTTCCTACATATTTCTTTTTTTTTTACAGTAAAACTTATTTTTTTTATATATCAATCATTTTAACCAAAAATATTTTATTGAGACCAAAAAAACATCTTTATAATCAACAGTGATAAAATATGTCTAGAATTAACTTTTTAACAGTAATGATTGTTCTATTTATTTTTTTAAATCTTGATAATCAACAAAAAATTATAGAAAAATTAGTTTACAAAAAAATAAAAAATAAAATAAAATATTGATTTTTTTTATTATTGCAGGCAACCATATTTATAAATGGAGAAGCAATTCAGTTTAGAGCTGTCAACACAAATTTGTGCCCTATAGTCAGCTGCTAATATAAATATAACCTCACCCATCCAAATTGACCTTTGACTTTTACTGACTGATGCAAGCCACCTATGTTTAATAAAGTATTTTTAAATAAAATTTAGGAATTTTTTTTCTCATGTAGTTAAATTGAATAAAAGTAACTATTTCCCATAGTTTTGGTGTTGATTTTTATTTGTTTGCAATATAAAGTTTTGTTAATCAGATAACAGCCATTGTTAAGTTTTGCTGATTTAAGGGGAATCTGACTTTGTAGTCATTTAATAACATCAATTTTAGGAACTGGGATTTGTTAACAGTAATATCCTCAGAATTTTCCGTAACACACCAGTTCATTTAATATTCATGTATAAATTTTTTAGTAAAAGAAACGTTGTCAAAAGAGTGGGTTTTTTTCTTTTTTTTTTTTCTCTCTCCAGTCTATCAGATGGGTTACTTAATATGAGATAAGCAGCTGGCCTGGAATAACTGATAATGCCTGTACATATTGTAATGTTTATCTCATATACCTACTCTAATAAATAACTAGCAATGAGATCACCTAAAGCTAAACCAAAATCTAAAAAAAAATTATTACTACAAGTTCTTGAAGATGCCCTGCCAATTCAGAAAGATGCCAAAAAATATTAGTGATGGGTACACATCCAGAGTAATCATTGAGATAATTTCCATTGGATAAATACGTTTCTATTAAGTTAGTTCAGTTTTTGGCTTCTCTATCAACTAATTCCATCATATGAAAAAAATGAAGATATTAGAACTAAATTTGCATTAGATAAAATTTGAAGTTCAATGCTATATAATCTTACTTATAAAACGCAGATTGTGTGTGTGTGTGTGTGTGTGTGTGTGTGTCTGTAATGTTTATATATTGGATCGGATTTCCTACATTTTTCAACCGATTTCAGCAAAACTTCACAGGACTACATAAAATTACCTTGTGGTGGTTCTAACAGCGCCAAAAATGGGAAAAATATAATTGTTTTTGCACAAAATCAATTTGAAAACACGATTAAGAGACATCATGAAAATGGAAGGGGGACAACTCACATCAGGTTGTTTGTGTGTGTGGGTTCCTTTAAATATGGGAGTGGATTTCCTATATTTTTCAGCCGATAAAACAAAACTTCACTTTTTCTTTTTTTTTGGCAGGTCGTGTTTCTTATTCTCTTGCACACTTTTTTCTTTATTTTTAACATTCAGAATGCTTTAAAAATTCCATCTAGCCATTTTAAATGTAAAATGAAGAGACCTTGCAGCCAATCTAGTAATATGCTTAAATTCATAAAGTCTTGATACCATAGTGGAAAGTTCATCAGAACAATTACCATGAAAGTATTTATAGAAAAGTCACAGGGAATCTGTTACAGCAGTGAAAAAAGGACTGAAGGTGAAATGCCAATAACAATATGGCCTGAAAACAGTATCATTTTATCATTTAACTTTTCTGAATTTAAAAAAAAAAAAAATTGACAAAATTAAACAGTAAAAAGCTGTTGAAATTAAAAATGATTTTTTAAAAAGAAATATAAACTTCCTTTCAGATGAAAATTATACATAAAATTGAAAAATTACTTCATGCTTAACATTCAAAAATTTAAGACTCGAGTAGCTATTTCTACAAGCCAAAAAGAAAAAGAACACATGTATCAGACAAGGACAAATTTGGCTTAAGGCTACATTTCTTGAGCACACACTGATGTTCAAATTCACTTTTAGCAAATTAAAAGTCTAGGTTAAAAAGAGTCTAGGTTAAAAAGACTTATTCAGTTTCAACGGTTTATTTTGTAAATAGAGTTTTTAAAAGGAACAACCTGATAGTAGTAATGTTTTAATAATGGATCTGAAAGAAAAATTTAAGTATAATAAATTAATTATTATATCAATGTTTTGTCTTTAATAGTGTTGGCTAATATTTTTTAAGATATTGTTACTAACTATACACAGTATCTAGAAATTTGTACTAAATAGAATTTTTTAAAAAAATTAATGAAAGGAATCACAGAAAGTGCAGCCACCAACAATCAATTCTTAGATTGCAGATATTTTTTTAGTAGTAGTGTATCAGTAAATGCAAAAATTGAAGGAATTTTACTGATACATTGAAGTCTTACATGATAGTTCCATCTTCTGCAGCACTCCAGAACATAAATGGCACATTTGGCGCTGTGGCTAGTCGCTTGACCCGTCCAGCATGGCAGCCAAACACATGGGTTGTCTCTTGAATGTTCACATCATGCACACGAATCTTGCAATCAGCTGCTCCACTCACGATAATTGAATCATTTGAATTGGGCAAGAACTGGCGAAAAAAAAAAAAAAAAAAAAAGAAAGAGAAAGAAACAGAAATGTAATGGAAGATTGATTCATCATGAACAGAATGATTATTTAGATATGGCTGTTTAAATGTCCCATGAAAATTATGAAGTTATAATTTGTTTATATACAATTTTTTTTTTTTAACTATTTCTTAAGATATTCTTGTTCACTTAGCCCTTTCCAAACTGATCTGCCAAATGAGGCCAACTAACCAAATCTAATGCCAATTGATAGTAAAAGGCATATGCTATTGAATCATATACAAGCAACATGGCTGCTTTTCCAGATATTAAACCTTTAAAAAAAAAAAAAAAAAAAAAATCAACATATGATTGCATCCAGTCCCCATGTATATGACCAAACCTAAATATAAATAAAAATACTTCTATATAGCCTGGGTATAAACTTACTATGTTTTTTGGGTGGAGGGGGTCAATATCTCACAAAATGAATTAAAATTGGAGTTACCTTAAAAATGGTAAAATTTCTAAATAAATTCATCCCAAAAAGAGTTAACAAGTTTCAATACAGAATTCTTCTCTTCCCAATTATTATTGATTATTATTGATTGTGAATGTTTTAATTTTTGGATACATTACTTTCCCCTCCCTTCTCATGTTTATTTGAACTGTTTTTTTTTGGGGGGGGGTCACTATTATTCATCCAATACATGGCCCAAGTACCCCTCAAGGTAGAGGGTTACTAAATGAGGTTGTTGCAAAGGAATACAGTGGGTAGTGGGAGAGTTACAAGAGGTGTATATTATGAGGACATGTAGAACAGATAACAGCTAGCCCTCAACTTGAAAATGTTAAGATTATTGTAATCTGGTAAATATCCTATTGAGAGTTCATTCTACAGTGCAACAGTTCTGGAGAAGAAGCTGTTTGAGTGAAAATTCCTCTTCCCACCAATGGAATACGAAGGAAATGAGGATGAGCCAAATCAGTGTACATGGTATGGCAGATCCTAGCTGTGAAGGCATGGACTGGTGGGATAAAAGAATGCCCAAACATCAGCCATGAAAATAGCAATAGAGTAGTGAGAAGTGAGTAACATTTCGTCTGTAGGAAAGAGATTGTAGGGTGGAAAATAATTTACAAGGCTGCATAAACACTTTTGAACTCCATCGAGTTAGGAAAGTGAGAACTGGGCAGCTCCAGTACAGATGTAACAACAATACTTCATTTTTGGTCTGATCTGGCACTTGTAAAGAGAGCATGGTTGGAGTCAGATACTTCTTGGAATGGTACAAGGAACCAACCATTTTTCCAGGGTCTTTAGCTATGGCTCATTCAGACTTAAGATGTGTATATTGCATAGAACAAATCATCCTTACGCACACACTTGAAATTATTAAGTACAGCCTTTAAACTTTAATTTGGATTTATCAATATTTGATCATTAAAATCTGTTTAACAACATTTAAGGTTCTGTAATAGTAACACTGCACCTGATTTTACTATTTTTACTGATGTGAAATAGTTTTATTATAAAACATGAATAAATATTTAATAATGACAAGAAAAAAAAATATTTAAGATTACCTTCAAGGAAAAGATATTTCCCTGATGTCCTGTCCTGATTGTGGTTAGACGTTTATGTCGGAAAGGATTCCACACAATAATCTGGACATCATCTGACCCACTGGCAAGTAGACTGGAATATTAAGAAAAAAAATAAAAAAAAAAAAAAAAAAAAAAAAAAAAGAAAAAAAAAGAAATAAATAAAACATCCTTGAAAGAGATTCCTCGTTTACTATTGGATATATAAGCTATAAATATTTAGTTCATATATTGTTTCAATGTCAAGTTATAAAATAAAAAAAAATAAAATAAAAAGTGCTTTTTTACATTAGTACTAAAACTAGATAAATTTTTAAAGCTTTTACTTTTGTTAAAATAACTGTCACAGAAGACTAAAAAAAAAAAAAAAAAAAATCTTAAAAACTGATTCTTTCAAATTGAAAAAGGGAAATCAATTTTAAACATTTTTGTAGCCACATCTATTAAAAAATAAATAAAATGAATAAAAAACATTCTCAAGAATATAAATTTAAAAATACTAGCATATTAATTTCTGCCTGAATTTTTAAAATGAGTTATTTATATTCCAACTAATATCCTTATCTTTGTTATTGTCACAATGTTTTGGCCATTGTGCACTTTGCCCCTCTTCACCCACCTATCAACACAGGGACAGAATTTTTACACTGTACTGTTCATGTCCAGAGATATCTCATTTCATTTTCTTCTTCATTATGGTTTAGTTATTGCTTGTCACACAGTGCAAGTCAGTACTACACAACCCAGGGATTGAACTCACAATTACTATACTACCAAATTCTCAAACCAACACTGCTATTAGGCAGAATACTGAACCTAGATTGGAACAATAGCCTAGTGAATTAAAGTTGGTTTATGAGTTATGTGGCATAGTAATTGCAAGTTTAATCCTTGGGGTGGGTAACACAGACTTAAACTCAGTGGTGACAGGGTGAACAACAATGAAGTGGTAGTTAGAAAGAGAGAAAAAAAAAGACATTTCTTGACATAGACAGCTGAATAATCTAAGCCCCATAGATTGAATAAAATTTTACATTCCCTACCTGAAGAAGGCCAGAGAGCACAACAACTGAAACACAGTAATAATAACAACTAAAATGAAAACATTATTCTGAATGCAAAATAATGTAAATAATACTAACATGTTACTTTGATGCTATGACCTTTATTTTTAATTTTTTAATTTCTAAAACAACTATCTTAAAATTTCCCCTGAAGTATTTTACTACTCGCATCTTGTAGGGAGTACTGAAATCCCCCCTCTCCACAAAAGAAGCCACAGTCCATTGACAATTTATGGCCCCAAAATGCTACTGGCACATACATTCGTCAGAACAAACTTTTTGAGAGTCTTTGGTACAATTTTCAAGTTTTGGTCAATGATTATCTGAATTATACAAACACAGAGACCGGAAATAAATTCACATCAGAATCATTACAATGGAATTTTCGAGATGAGGAATTATCATGATTATATACCTTAGTAGTTGGATGATCAGCCCGCTGATTTTGGTTGTTATACTCAAAAATGTTTTGACCATTGTATTCTCTGACCTTTTTTTCAGGTTTCTGTCATCATATTTGGTAACAACCAACATGAGCATGCTGGTTCGAAGAGCAAGCTATATAGAATCACATATAGACTTGTAGGTCTAATTTTGAGACCATTAATCATACATCCAAAACAGACTAACTGCTGAACTGCATTAATAGGGATAATATTACTTCAGTTAAGGATTTCATTTCTAAAAGAAATGTACAATAATATTACGGTGTGATAATTTTTACAAGATTGAATTATTTTTTATATATGTCTTTTGACTCAACTTGTTCACATATTGTACTCTCCAGCTTTCTTCAGATGTCACTTGTACTCAGTAATTTTCTTAAAATGTTGAACTGACCACTATTCAATCCACAGGGGTAGATTGTTCTCGTTCCACTATCCAGGCTTAGGGGAGATAACTCATAACAGCTAATTTTCTCCAGTCTATGATCAGCATCAGAAACATCCTTCAACATAACTATCCTACAAGAATAACATCAGTTACAACAAGCAGGGAGAGAACAGTTGAAGACAAGAAAAAAAAAAAAAAAATCTGCTATGGCCTGTCTACAATAAAGTGACCTGTAGTTCATACAACATCAGGATGGTATTAAAAAAAAAAAAGTTCAACTCTTCAGTGATCTTTCCTGAACCAAATGCCTCTCAGAAGGCCAAGAACTACATGTATTTTATCCCATGCAGCCATGGAAAGAAAAATAAAGGTGAAACTACCTACCTCCTAAAAGTAAAGGTAGAGGAACATGAAGAAAGAGACCTTGAAATCAGGCATAGCTGATCATGTATAGAGGGAAAAGGGTGGTCATCAGACATTTGTAGAATGAATTGGTGATAACAGACAGAGAACAATGTTCAAGGATAAGATGACTGAAAGAATCGAGGCACATGTTATGTTTTGACAATCTCCTTAGTAAACCTAGCATAAAGACAAATACCAGCTAGGTTCCTTTAATTAAGAAAGAATTGACATACAAAGATTCCACCATTTGATTACAGACTCCAAATTAACACCACAAAAATGTCCAAGATACCTGGCCTTGTTAATTAAATCATTGATTAAAATTTCAATCTCTGGATGTGGTAGTGCTGAAAAGCCATACACATTAGTCCAATGGAAGAGATGAACAAGCAACACAATTAACTGATACAAGTTATCTAATGAAAACATTCTACCCTGTGAATTGAATAAAGGATTAAGTTAAAAATTCTGAGAAGGTTACATAGTAAGACATAAACCTGAAAAGGGCTGGAGGGGTGGGGGTACAACAGCTGAAACAATCAAAGCTGAGCATGCTGACCCAAATAGAAAAGCATCATAATTCCTCATCTCAAATTTCCAACATTACTTTATTATCCATTTAATACACGTCTTTATCACAGGTATTATCTAGATGAAAATTTGAATTTTTAAATTTGTACTCATAACATATAAAAGAAATTCTTTAAAAATATACCATATCAAACCACCTCCTCCCCACCACTAAAAAGCTGAGTCTTAGATGCAAAGTTTACCTGCCAGACAACCAGTACCTTAATTTCACTTAATTCCATTATACTACTCTATTTTTCCAATTTTCATTCAATATTATATTAAATGTAAATAGTGTGTGCATGTGTGGAGGGAGATCTTATAGGCCATCATGCCTTTTAGAAAGGTTACGAATATTCTTTTCATTCTTAGTGGATTTTTTCTATTTTGGTTCTGTTAGTAATGGAGCAAAAACAAAACAGTTACTTTGAATGGTTAACATAAGCAGCAAATTCATTAGTAGCACAAAACAAATAATAGAGATAACTTACGTTCCTTTTTCATTCCATTCTAAACAATTTACACAACCTTGATGACCCTAAAAAGGAAAATAAAATACAATGAACATTAAGTCACATTTCCAGAAGAAATACAAAAAAATGCAGAATATTAATTTCATGTTGCTTTCTCAGGTTAAATATTGTGCAACAATAATATTACTTTTTACTTATTCAAGAAAAAATTTCTTTATCTGTAGTCTCAAAAACTTTTCCCTTTATTACCATGGAGAAAAGGAAAAAAAAAAAAAAAAAAAAAAAAAGCCTTTTCCTAGTCGGATCAATATTATCAAATTTACAACAACAGATGTATTAGAATAAAGTCACAAGTATTACAAGACATTTTATAAAGCATAATTGCTTGAAACTGATTATGACATAACTAATTTTAAATAAATTTCTCTTAAAGTGAAAATTTAAAAAAAAAAAAAAAAAAAAAAAAAAAAAAAAAAAAATCTACAAAAGAAATCATTTTAAGAGTTTATTGTTGGTTAATTAATAAAACTGATTGTACATAAAATCATAAATTAGTAAAGTAACCAGATACTGCTCAGGGAGGAGGGAATGAGTCCTTACCCAAAATTAACTTTTGCTTAGATATTCTATAAAGATGGAATGGAAATTCTATATACTCAGAAAGGTAATCTATTAGCCGAACTAAATGTGATCAAAAGCAAAGTTGCAGCTGATATTGCAACATTAGTCATTAATCTTTCATAGAAACTAAGTTATGAGATAAACTAAATGTATCAAGAATAACATGATTTTAATTTTTTTTTATCAGGAATGTTTATAGGAATGAGTGTAATCTGATTTTTTATGCAAAATTTAAAACGTTCTTTTCAGTGACATGAAAAGGGTTGAAAGTAAATGTCACATTTACATTAAAAAGAAAGAAAAAAACTAATGTAAATGAATGATGCAAATATACATCTTGGGAAATATTTTTTTTATCAGAAAATTAACTAAAATATAACAGAAAACTTAACTTCCAAAAGCTAGGACATCCATTTCATTTTTATTCATCAACAAAATTTTTTATTTCCACTCATAGTTAAAAAAATCCTTTCTTGGAAAGCAAAATATCTTATTAACAATTAGAATTTAATGTAGTAGTTTTTTAAATTTACAGAGTAAGTGTTCCCAAAGTATTTTGAATGTGTATTTTGATATAAAATTAGCTATCCTCAAAGGTGGTAAATGATAACAGTTGAACAATACTTCATTCTATAATATGACCATCTAAACAAATGTGAACTATCAATCACCACTGGATAATTATCCAAATCAACTTAAACTAGTCAAAAAAATGTCTTAAGTCATTAATGAGAAATCATCTAGTTATTAAATAATGAGACTTAATCGAGAGTTTTTTTGCTGTTGCTCTGACACAAGGATAACACTACTGCAAACCAAGAAGAAGCCATCACAGATCCTGAACAGGAACAGATCTTAGTAAGAAAGTGTGTGTGTGTGTTTGTTTTTTTTTGGGGGGGCAACAACAAAGTATCGACTATTACACAATACCCACTAAAACAGACAAGGGAATGATGTAATGATTTGTTTAATGCCATTTTTGAAGAAGTTAAATATTTTTAATGATCAGGTAACTGTTTATTTCTTTGATTTTTTTTTTTCTTTAATCTTTCTTGGTATTTAATCAAGTGGAACATGTAGAAACAACATCACAAAAACTAAATGAATCTAGCACCTGAAGAAGGTCAATGGACAAAACATTGTGAACATAAAACAAGCCAAAATGAAGACAACAATCTGAATGAATTATGTACAAAATCCCAGACAGAAATTACATATATCCATTTCTATCGATTGGATATAAAATAATTTTAGTAGCAGATTATTCAGTCTGCTTTCAAATGATATAAAGTAGGTACCTCCAAAAACTTTCTAAAAAAAGCATACCATGATGGAAAAGCCCCCAAACTTGATAAAAAACAAAGTTTTATCATCAAAATCTTTGTTATTATTCAGTGGGAAGACCAAAATATTTTTTAATTATTTTATAAAATTTTTTAATCCTTTCTAGCACATTCAAAATTTTGGTTAAAAATCTTGTTTTTCATGTGTCAGCAAGTGAGCCAAAGATTAGTATTAGGAAGTTTACCATTTTTTTGTGTGTGTGTTAAAAAATAAATAAAAAAGTGTTTGGGAAATTCTTGCAAAAATCAAATAATTGTCAGAATTTAATGAAATTTTAAGGACTTATTCACAAATGAATGAAATTATTATTTTTTTTATTTTTTATTTTTTTAAATATCTGTTACCAACACAATTTTTCAAGAAATTAAAATCTCAGCCTCTTCATATTTATAAAAGCAGGAGTCCTTGGAGAATTTAAATCACCAATTTTTCTTTATCAAACAGAAACACCATTTATTGAAAATCTGTTCTGAATCATAAAATAAAGTATGCAATAAAACTATGCCATTTAATTAGAGAGGCTTTTAAATGCGTTTATAAATAAAATATATTAAGGACACTATTGTCTTGAAAAAGTTTTTGTCAATAAATAATAATTTTTTTTTTTTACAAGAATTTTTTTCATTTTTTAAAAATTTTAATTAGAAAAATCTAAGCTTTAAATCTTAGAATTCTATATTAATTTCAGCCCTTTAGATGATATTAAGTGAAAATTATCTTTACTAATCATAAATGGAAAAGCTTAATACAAATCATTATACACCAATATTTTACAAAGAACTTTGAATTTTTCTTGTATGAATTTTTGTGAATATACATGACATTATCAAAAAACTATAGTAAATTTAAAGCCAAAATTTCTAAAATTGAATAAAATTACAGAATATTTTCCTAAATTCTTAAGATTACTTAAAAATTAAATAAAAAAGTGCTCATGTCATTTTCTTAAATTATGCTTTACAGATAAAGTCTTCATAGAACAACATTAGATCTCTCCGCCTGGTTAAAAAAATGCATTTCTGTGATATTTTAAACTCAATGCAAGTAATATTTGTTTCAAGTCATATTAATTAAACTTTAAATCGGCTAATATTCCTCAAATAAAGTTTCAGAAAAGTATTTTATTTTTGGAAGATTTTTTTAATAAATAGAATTACATTGTGATGAAAGATGACTAAAAAAAGAGCATTAATCAGGTATTTCAGAAAAAAAAATTTTTTCAGTGAATTTAAATTAGTTTTTGAATTTCATATCTTAGATAAAACTGACTAGAATACAAAAGGCAATGAAAAGTTCTTGACAAAAAACATGCTGATATTTGGTCAAAATTTGGGAAGGGAGAACTTTTCAGCACCTCCTTGCATATACCAGTGATTTGCAATTACAGTAAAATGAAAAGTTAAAATAAAAATATCAAAATAGTTGTACCTTCACCTGAAAGGAGATATGCCAGAAGCTGAGGTCAGCAGCACTTGAATTTCAAGTGAGTGGAAAACACAGAGACAGTTTCAAGAGAGGGAGGGTGGATAAGCAAAGCCTTGCACTTGAATAAATGGCCAGTTGCCATGTGTTGACAGTGGCCAGAATATGGAGTTCAGTCCAGTGATACTTATTACATATACCATTTGCTTTTTTTGCTTTTTTCTCCAAACAACCCTGTAAATTTCCACTTCATTTTTGATTTGTTAATTTCTCTACTAACATTTCTCTTGGGTTAGTCAACTAGTAAGCAAAATCAGAATACAAAATGTGGTAAAGAAAAAAAATGTTTTCAACACCTTAGCCTAAATGGAATCCTACTTGGGTGGGGGGGAGTATATTTGTTGACATTAAAAAAAAGAACTGTTCATGCACAATATCAGGCAAGTGACTCATTTGAATGGTGCATAGTAAAAGGCAAATTTACTGCATGAGCTGGTTCCCAAACTGCAAATATCAAACAGAAAACAGTCATGGAACTACATTAAGAGATTCTTCTACAAATAGCATATTCTTCAGGCCTCTCACTTATTTTGCTTTCTGCAACACACCTTGTCTGGTCAGGGATTCCAACAAGGTATTGAAAAATTATTCCAAAAAGTTCATTTAATTTATTGAAAGGTGATATAAAGTCATTTAATGGCTGAATAATAATACTATGAATTTATATGAACACAAAAGTTAGACAAAATGCTGGAAACCTTTACAACAACCTTATATGTCAGCAGTTTCATTCCATACAATGTTCTGTTTAATGCTGCTTGTTGACAAAACTCAGGATAATCAAAATAAACTACTTTTCCTTAATGTTGATTCTTTATACTTGGGAAAACTAAAATAATATAAATATTTAGAAAACATTACTTTTATAACTTGGGAGGATTTTTATATTCTTTGTCTCTTAGTATATTTTGTCTTAGTCAATATGTGCCTTCATTACTTATATGCTTAATCAATTTTTGTGTTGTGTGTATGTGTGATGATGATGATGATGAACTCTCCCATAAATTTCAATGTACGAGGATCTGAAACCTCATTCAGTTCTTACATCTGTGTTGTATGTGACACTTCAGTCCTGCTAGTGTCCTACATACAAGTCAACAGTGTGCAACAGTGAGGATCTCAGGATATAGCCACAGGAATATTTGTGGATGCTTTTTTGGCATTGTCTTTTGTCTCTTAGCTAGTCAATATGACCAATTTCTGAATTTCTGATACCACTCTGGCACAAATGTCTCCAGTTATTTCTATCCAGAGCAAATCTCTCAAAGTGAGTGTGAGACACATTGACATCTGAGAGGTTACATTGGAATGCATATATATATATATATATATATATATAAACTTAAACAAATATTCCATGGTTATTTTATCATTGACCTATAAATTCAAAAAGAAAACAGAAAATATATCTCAAGATTAAAAAAAAATTTCAGTGAAAGTGTAAACCCAGAGATATAGTTTCTGTTTTCTTTTTGAATTTGTAAGTCTGATGAATTGGATTGTGATTACGATTCCAATATAATAATTTATTATATTGGAATCGTAATCACAATCCAATTCATTGTGAAATATTAGTGTTTGAGCCCTTTATATTATATTCTTGCTCTGTCTTATACATAGAGCTCTAGCTGGATTTTATCCTCTTGGAGATAAAATATATATATATATATATATATATATATATATATATATATATATAACCACTATATTAGTGTGTGTGTGTGTGTGACAGAAAGTGCATTTGGGCAGCGGTTTTTCATTTATACAAATTTGGTTGACAATAACAAAAGCTATTTAAGGATTTTTTTTCTATATTTTGTATCATTTTTCTGGTTTCCAATACATATTTAAATATAAATGCAAGTACTTCTGACTTTATAACATGAACTTTCATGTGAAGATGCAAGAAGTGGTATTTGAAAATAATGAAATTGACAGTGTACTAAAAACAAATCCAGAGAGTATTAACATGGCAGTTTCCAAACTGATCAAGAAATGAAAACTACCAACCACAGTAACTGAGACAGCAAATCAACAAGAGGAACAACAGATCTGTACAGAACCCCATATAGATACCCATGATACACTGATGTCATCTTCGATTCTGATGGAAAGTCATGAGCAATGAGGTCCATATAACAGTACCCCACAGCCAATGCTATCTTTTATGCCTTCAAGCCATGGATCAAGAGGGTAGCTTAACATGTTCCATCAGAACTGCTCCTTTACACATGTCCCATGTGACCCCAGAGTAGCCAGTACAGTATTTTCACAATAATGCTACCTGCAAAATTGTGGTCTCCTAGCTTTTCAGATTTTAATCACTTGACTTCTATTCCTAAGGCCTCATTGAGAGAGAGATAAGCCAACAGTCCCTAATACTAAGGAATCATTGAAAACTGCCATTGTGGACATGATAGTCAACATTAATGAGAACCAACAGATATGCAGTCATTTCAAAGACCATCCCTATGGCTGAAGGAGGATCTATTGAATAATCTTTATCATCTTGAAATCTAAATTGACATATCTCTTTCAAAATTTACTAATTTTTATTCTTTTTTAATATCTTTTTCTTTATATTAACTTACATTACTACATAATTCTTTATAATAGGCCATGTGGGAGAGAGAGCAGAGTCAGCTGGAAACTGTGCAACTAACCCATGATCCAGGATTTGACCAGTATCCAGCACCGAAACAGAGGCAGTAGCATTGACCCTGAGGCCTTGCAAGAAGAAATAGAGGTGGCATGACAAAAGCCTCATTGTTCATCATCCTGTGAGGTCCATACAGAGTCACTTGTTGCACCTCCTGTTCAGCTAGTTACCTCCAAGACTGTCACAACCTCCAATTTGCTGTGGTTGGCATCTAGTACCACAAGCACCTCTTCATCTCTTATCTCACATTGGAAGTTGCCATGTTAATACACTTTGTTTGAAAGAAAGAATAATGATGTTTGGTACTTATTTCATAATGTTAGACTGTCTCCCATTTGTGGCTATATGTATTCTCAAATAGCTGCTATACACTATATATGACAGGGAGCAGAGTAGATATTGGCCTGACATACTTCTGACCAAAGAATGTTTTTGAAAGTACCTCTTAATCAGACTCCAGCATACACATATATGTGAGAGAGAATCAAACACTCACAAAGAGAAGATAAGCATTTTCCCCTTAAGAAAAAAAAAGAAAAAAAAAAAAAAAAAAAAAAGAAAAAGAAAGATGATTTTAAGAAATGACATCAACATTACTTTTCAGCAATCTGGTCAATTTGTGTGATTTTCTTTTCGCAGTTTGACAGCATCAGCTCCTAGAGACTTGTCAACTTTTCGTCAGTTTGCCACGTTGAAAAATGACTTAGTGATGATAAATAATCTTTCTTAACCTCACTTATCAGAAATTTGGATTATGTGCATTATTCTAACATATTTCCTGATTTGTTCTTAATTTTGTATACTTGATATTTAAGTAAAAAATTAAATGAGTCATAGCTCTCTTTGTATCATTCCAACTAATGTAGAGAATTAAAGTAAAACTGAACTGCCATTTGTCTACATTTAGTGAAAATTTCAGAAAAATTGGACATATTTTCTGAGATATTAAAGTTTTAATTTTGGTTCCTTAATTTTGGACAATACTGTACATGTGCAAAATTATTCTCAGGTCATAGAAGATACTTTAATCCAACCCAATAAAATAGTTTAATGTAAGATATAGAAGAAATAGAGGATTTTTTGTTTCTTCATTTTTTTGTCTGGTTGATGAAGAGAAATTTATTGGAGCTTTAATTGTTTGAAACGTAATATCACATTTACGTTATTTGGAATGAACCAACAACTGTAAAACAAAGTAATAAATAGTGAGACAGATTTAGTTTAACTTTTTTTTTTCTATAAAACCGTAAACATGGTAAGGATATTGAGAAATAAATTTTTGAAAAAACTTTATTCAGGTCTCTTAGCATTTATGATAGATGACTGTGATTGCTAATGATGCATTAGGTTATCTCCTTAAATGTTTCAATAACTACTCAAAAAAGAATAAATAAAATAAATAAATAAAAATAAATAAATAATATCTAATTATTCCACATGCATGCTACATCATTGGCTGGTTGAGGATAGAGCAGAAAGTTTATCCATGAAAAATAATTGCAAAAGTATGCCAAATAGAAAACATGTTTGGAAAAACAATCAGAAACCAGAGAAATTTACAATCCAGATATGGCAGTCACAGGCTGGAAAAAAATGGCTACAGCCAGCAAAAAAAGAGGATTCACAATTTACACCAACACTATTAATTCTGTACACACAAATCTATTTTTAGTATTCAGTTTGTTTGAAATTGATGTTTTCAATTATGATAGTTCGTTGATGAAACTTAAAATCCTGGTCATTTGAATTAATGTATTTATTCTAACAACAATGTGATTTGGTATGTTGTCACATTAGTTAAACAAGGACAACAGTTCCTATAAAATATAATTGGGAGTACTCAGCTTGCCTTTATCAGACATGCATCAAAACCATCCAGGAACTTCAATGAAGTTCTTTACAGTTCAGGGGTACTTGCAAATCATTTTTGAAGTTTCTAGCATTGTTTCTCTTTCCCTGAAGTTTTTAAACATTTCCTTTATCTACCAAATCAAATTTACATCCCATTTTAAAACTTCGAACTCATAACATGGCTATTGATTTAAGATCCCAAATTTGTTTATATCAGTACAAACAGATATTGAACAGAGTAGGTACTAGGATGAAAGGTAGTGTGCATTAACACTTTTTTTAAAATTGTTTTCTTGACTCCAGTCTTTCTTTTAATGATCTTTCATAGAGTGGCATTCGACTTCAGTTTAGAAAGTGCAGAAAACCAAACTTATAGGCACTTACCTCAAGCTCTTTCTCTAATCCAAGCCGATGGATCATGTCCTGCGTGACCTGAAATGTCCGTTGGAAACTGATGCATTGACCATCCTACAAATAAAATTGAAGAATGTAAATTTCTTTTACACTGTAGAAAAATTAGTGCAGTTTTTGTTTTAATGGCAATTTAATCACTTTAGCCAAGAAAAATTTGATTTTAATTTTTATTCTTTAATCAGAGTTAACACCAACAGTAAATTGGTGGGATAAATAAAACTCTTGTTAACAAATCTCAGCAGCCAATGCAAAAACCATTATTACACTTATTCAAAGGAATCAAATGTCTTTTGTCTAACCCAGACTTTTTTCTCTCTGCTTTTTAATTATGAAAGCATATTTAGAGGACACACACAATACTCAGTGGACAGTTAACTCCATCTAGTTGAGACTGAAACAGTAAAGTTTCATTTGAAAAAAAAAAAAAAATTATATATATATATATATATATATATATATATATATTTATATATATATATTTATTGAGGTAACTCCAAAGATTCACTAAAAAAAATGAGCATACATGATGTAAACAATGCCCCAAACTTAAAAACAAAGTTTTATCAAAATCTTTGTTGCTATTAAGAGGAAAAACTAAAGGATTTATTAAATTATATTTTTAATCCTTTTTAGAATATGTGTGTGGCTTTTTTCTGCTTAGAGTATTGTTGCTATATTAATTAGGATGCCTCTTATTTTTGAAGTGTATGCCAAAATTGAATTGTCAGCCTTAAATTTGTTCCATTCATTGAAAAATGCCACATAAAATTTTAAGGAGATTGCATAATATTTAGAGGGTGCCTTTGCAAATTATACACATGAGAAAACTAGAAACATTTTTGTAACAGTGAAAAATTTAAATTTTAACTGATGTTTATTATTTTCAGACCCCAATTATGGCAAGTGTATCCAATGCCAAGCAGAAAAGAAATATGTCAACTGTAATTAGGTACTTAAGCGATTTATGGAAAGAAATTGTTCTATTTATTGTTTAAGCTTTTACCTAATTCTTTAAATAAAAAGTATATCTAACTTGATTTCATAAGCTTTTGTATTCATTTTTCTACTAAATGTTTTATTAATAAATGTACTTTATTAAGTTTCCCAAACCAACTGTAGGTGCTGAAAATAATGAATTTTAATCATTGTAAGTATCAGAATCAGGAATTGTATCAAAATCAGTAAAAATATTGGTATCATCCCATCACATATATATCACACAAAGGTTTGAAAGAATTTGGGTTTCTTTTATTGTTTTAAGGTCATAATAAAAATGAATAATATAAAATTTGGACCCAAATAATTAATTTGAGTTTGTTAATGGCTATATCTTGGGTCTTGGCCCCGAATTTTTGTCTTTCTACTGCTTGGTTAGTATATCTATTTATGTCTGAAAGAAGATAGTATTCAGAAAGATGAAGCTTGCTACACATTGTTTATGCGAGACAAAAAAAATTGCATCAAAACTTGTCTTACGGAAATCATCTACAAGACAAAAGAACAGGGGTTGGCAATCTGTGATGCTCCTAGATAAACTTATTCAAAATACTGGGATAAAAAATCTGGATTAACTCAAAACAGCTATAATGGATCAAGACAATTGAAGACAATGTGAGATGTTGCAAATGGAGACTCAGCTAAAACTAACTTGTATTCTACTTGGAAATGTCATAGCAATAAGTAGAGGCAAAAAAAGCACCAGATAATTAAATATCTCCTAATTCTGATTTAAAATAAAAAGTCACAAAGTTGTTTATGGTTGCACTTTTGTCTAACAATTAGAATTCTTGTATTATTACCATTAGGTAAAGCAGTAAAGTGAAATAAACATGCATTTTTGAGATTAGCAAATTGAAATGTGATTTGTAACCAGAATTAGAAAAGGAAGCAAGAAAGAAAAAAAATTATTCCCTATTAATTTACAACTAATAAGATATTTCCTATATTCATTTTACTTCCCCAGTAAAAAGCATGACTATTTTTATGCATATGATCCCTCCATATCTAGACATGGAAATTGGTTTACAGTTTGAGCAAGGCATCAATTAAATCATCATTAAAAGTTTTTTCAGGAAATTAAACTTCTGTTATCTCTCTTTTTGAGTACATACTGATGAGAGTTTTCTTCATAATCTTTTGTTTTTGGTAGTGTAGAACAGCTTGAATTTTATATCCCATAGATACTTTATTAGGAATAATTAAAATGCTCCAAATAAGAAAAAAAATCCTGTCATATCTTTTGTTAGAAATTTCTGTCTTGATTATTATATGAGTTTGACAGTAACTTTCATTAAAGCTCTCTAATAAAGTAAATTTCCAAATAACTATTTAGAGACAACCAGTTTCTCTTCTGAGAGTGTAAGTCCAGCTGAATCAGAGTTATACAACAGTTAAAACCAAAAAATGAAATATTTCACTCAGAAAATTTTAATCTCTAGAGCCAACCAGAAAAATTATGGCATTGGTTATAAAAACTTTACCATTTTTAATTTTATAGTTGTATTAAAAATGTAATGAGATCATTGAATAGATGTTTAAAAACAATTTTTTAAAGAGTGTCTGTTGCTGTGTTTATGCCATACTGACAAACTGATCAAAACAGTCTAGATGGATTCTTGTAATCAATTTATAATCCTGTGTAATTATTTGTATTTCTCACTCACATGGCAATACAATCAAAGTTTTAGATAATTAAAAAAACTATATTATGACATTATTCTGTTAGAAACAGCTTGATTAAAACTATACAATAGGTACCACCACTTATTTGCTAAAAAGAATTAGCATACCATGATGAAAAAAAAAAAAAACTTGTCAAAATCTATTATTACTAAGAGGAAAGACCAAAGGATTTTTAATTATTAAAAATGAAATTTAATCTATAAGCTTGAAATTAAAACTAAAATAAAAGATTCAAGAAAGATTTTTCATTTTTAAAAATGTATTTTAAATTTTAGATACTGTGTTTCTTTGGAGAGAGGCACACACACACTTTAAATCATAAATAGAAAAACCTTAGTACATTTCATTGAACACCAATATTTTTAAAAGAATTTTAAAAAAATTTGTGTGTATAATCGTGACAATTTTTGTAAATAGGGACACCCATAAACAACATTAGATTACAGAGAATATTTTCCTAAATTTTTAAGATTACTGGGAAGGTAAAAAATTATATATATAAAAAAAAAAGAAAGGGTACTCATGTTATATTCCTCAAGTAAATTTTACAGATATATCCACAGTAGGAAAACAGATAAACTTTCACCTGTCATTCAAGCTGGCAACACCAAAAATAAACAGCTACCACCGTGTTAAAAAAAATACATTTCTGCAATATTCTAAACTTAAAATATGTAATATTTATTTCAAACCAGATTAAATCAGACAATATTTCTCAAATAAAGTTTCAGAAAATTGTATTTTCGAAAGATTTTTTAACAAAAGAGAATTATATTGTGCTGATAGATGGCACTAAAATCAGCAAATGTTAATGATTTCAAAATGAAAAATCCTTCCAGATAATTTAAATTAGTTTTGAAATACAGAAAAGTATTTTGCTTATTGGAAATATTAAATTTAATCTATTAGCTTTAAATTAAAACTAAAATAAAAGCTTCAAGAAAGATTTTTTTCATTTTTTAAAATTCATTTTAAACCTTAGGTATTATAAATTTTTGGAGGTACCTACTATGCAGCAACAGAAATTTAAGGAAGGTATAGTAATTAACTAGAGTATAATTTGGAGTCCAAGAAATAAAAATGAACATTTTTTTTAAAGCTCTAAGGAAACAAGTTTTAAAAGTATGCTCAGAAACTATACAAGTTATACAGTCCTTCCCCCTAGAAAAGAATCTTGTTATTGCAATAATACCTTCAAGAACTAGGAGTCCAAAGAAAATTCTAGCCAAATCACAGACACTATAACAGCTCCAAATGGAAACCCATATTAGGACATCAGGAGCTTAAGGAGTTTGCAAGGGCAGAGAATTATGAGGTGTCTTGGATTATGGAATATTTGTCCCGTGTTTGAAACTGTTCTAGAACATGACATTCTACTGATAACAGAAGACAGGAATATGAAGAGTAAGAAATAAGAAGAGAAAGGATGCAATGGAGTGAGACAATGGGTGTGGCATCATCTTTGAAAATGGACAGAGAAGCTTGAACAACAGATGCTTAATAGGTGGAAGCCATCTTCCATGGAGATATTTATAAATTGCAGATTTCCAGATCTATATGCCAATCAGATTTTTTTTTTTTTTTTTTTTTTAAATAGCAGAGATCTCAAAATGCCAATGTTTATCATGAGGAAGATGTCACCAGTGACCACCACCTGGTAATAGCGAAGGTCAGGTGAAGTATTCACCATCAACAAGCTTTGTGTGCCTGAAGTGCAAAAGTTTACTTTAGAAATCACTTTAAAAATGACGGAGAAGAGTAGTACATTGTAAACAGGGCGGGATAACGTCACAAAAGCATATAAAAGAAACAGTAAAAAGAATCATAGGATTTTTAAAAAAAAGAAAAAAAAAAAAAAAAAGGATAACATGTAGAAGAATTGGCAAGAGAAGCAGAAACAGCTAAGAGGAAGTTGAATGTAGAATATATAAGATCAATTAACAGCAAAGTGATCAAAGTAAAACCATTACTAAACCATTCAAAGAGAGGCAGACATGGGTTTGGCTTGCCAAAGTCTAAGAGAAGTAGACATAGTTATAGTATAGAGGTGGCTCCTTTTCTACGAGATGTAGTTGGCATAGTCTTGAGCACAACTGCCTCAACTGCTGCTTATCTCAATAAGCAGGGAAGATTTATAACTAAAAAGGAACAAGCTACAAGAGGAGTTCAGTATTTCAGAGCCTGTAGATTGTGAACCTTCAGATGATGTTGCCATTAATACCAACTCACTCTCCAAAGCTGAAGTAGGATTAACAATCAAAAGAAACAAGACTACAGTAAATGATGTGCTACAGATAGATATCATGTTAACTTTCATGATCATTTACTGATCTCTACTAAAATTTGGAAATACAATGTCATTCAGAAAAACA